AAAAAAAAAAAAAAAAAAATATATATATATATATCAGAAAAAAAATACAGAAAAAAGTACACAGACATCAAATTGCATTGATATGCGTCCATCGCTTTGTTTGACTTTTTTGTTTGGTTTCACGATGTGGGAGACAACACAGAGACTGAGGGAGGGAGTGAGGCAGAGAAAGAGAGAGAGGGAGAGAGATAGGGAGTGAGACAGCGCTTCTCCCATCTGGGTATCTGGGAGTCGACTGACAGCCAGACAAACAGCTCAAAAGGAATATTGCATACTTATTGGCAGCGGCAGCGGATGATTTAGCGGTTTTTAATGCTTCTTCTTCAGCTGCTTCGCTTTCCTGCTCGTCGACCCGGCCAGCCATCCGGGCCAAGCCTTTGCGCCGCACACATGTCAACGCCATTTGCGAATACGCGCGCGAGTCTGCACAAAAACTGCGGACGGGTCACAAAAAAATCATTTTTTTTTTATGGAAAATATTTTCCATGCACTTCTCGATGTAAGTTTTATAATATATATATTTTTTTTTCATTGATTGAAATCATTTGAAGAATTCTGCTTAACGAGTCTTCTCCACGAGGAACTTCAAATATTTGCAGCAGCTTTTAGTTGGCTATCTACGAAATATTTATCAAATATTGGCGAATAAGTTCGAGATTTCTTTGCACTGCAATGCAATGCATGCATTGGTCAGCGCAAAAGGAAATTAATGAAAATTCCAGTTTTTTATATTTAATAAATTTAGTTTAATGTACTCAGTTTAGAGATATGATATAGAAATTTTTGCTGAATTTACATTAGTTGCAGATTAATTTAAACTAGATATTAAATAATAATTTGACATTATTAGTATAAATAAAACACATGAAAACATAAGATAAATAAATAAAAAAAAAAAAAAAAAAATGAAAAATAAATTATATATAAAAATATATACATATTTTGTAAATTGTAAAAAAAACCTAAAAATAAAAAAAAAATAATTGTATAATTATTTGTTTATAAATAAATATGTTTAATATTAAAACTTGTATTTTCTACTGTTCCCGTCTTCAATTTTTCCTATTGCATCTTTAATTAACTTATTTAATATATCAATAATTTTATACAAATAAATAAATATTTATGAAATTGAAATTTTAATATTCCACCTAATTTTATTTCTAACTTTGAATTTAATTTTAGTTATAATTTTAGTATATATAATTTTAATATATATTATTGTTTGTTATTTTATCGAACAGATAAAGAAATCTATATTTATGGCAGTGCTATAATTTTCTTATACATACAATTACAATATACTCTATTTGATTAACTAAATTAAATATATTTATAGCCAGCTATAGAATTTCATACACTTCAGCTATTTATACTTTTTCTTATCTTGATCAAGTTCAACTTTTGGTGTCTAGTAAAGCAAGGCAACTGTCTGAGGCTAAAGCTAAACAAAGTCAGGGCCTATGAGGCCACATGGCCAATTATCACTGCGTCAATCTAGAACTTGACAATGAGTACGAGCATAGCAAGCATATGTGGAAATGGATAAAAGCTTTATAGCACATATCGTAACCATGTATAACTGTAGAACTTATAGACTAACTTTGTAAATTTTGGACTCACCTTCTGGGCAGAAGTGGAAGATGATTACCAAACAGCCATAGACGTTTCTCTCCGAACCATTTGTCCATAGACCCTTCAGTGTGGACAGCTTTGAATTGTCTTTTAAATGATATTTGATTTGTTTTTAATTGTTCGCAGCTGTTAATTATGATTTGCCACTAGTTTGGTCGACATTTTATTTGATTTTTGAATGAATTCGAATTCTCGTTGTTTTTATTACTCTTGATTGGGCTTCACACGCGTGTCTCGAAAATGACGCGCCAAATCGGTTTGTCGGTCGACTGCGAAATGTTAACAAAGTTTGTTTATAGTACGCCGGAGTCGTAGCCGGAATTTTCAGTGCGGCGGCATTGAAAACGCCGACAAGCATGGCTAAACGAAAGCGGAAGGGGGTTTGTTGGGGTGTCAGCGCCGGTTGACATGGGCAACGCTGTTCCGTTTTCGGGGCAGGGTTTTCTCAGTCATGTCGTTGTCGTTGCCGTTGTTGTCGTTGTTGTTGTTGTAGCTGTTGCTTTAGCTGTATTTAAGTTATTAATAGTGTTGTTATAGCCGTAGCTCGTGTTTGTGTTTTGCGTTGTCAATCCATTGTCATTAAAAACAAACAAGAACGAGAGAAAATAATAGGAGAAGCAGCAGCAAAGTTCGGTGAACATGTGCACAGCAAAGTTTCGAACTGCCTTGATTTGGCGTTGCCCAGCAAATTAGAATTCGAATCTGAGAGTATTCATAATAATTTAATGAGCTATTGTGCATTGTCATAGAAATGTGGGAGAGACACGTTTTAACATGCTTTAAATGGGGGCTGCGACAATGATTATCTTGTGGAATATACAAACATTTGTTCGACTGACATAATTTAGACACATATCTAACTATTTGCCCATTTTTTGGGGACAATTATATATTAATACCTCTGCCTGTGATCGCTATTATTATACGCTGCTATTACATTTGATAAATCAGCAAGGTCAAACGCGTGCTCATATAAAGGGTGTG